ACATTTGACTTTGAATAAATAATATTGACCTTTGACTAGTATAAAATGTGGTGTAACAGTGTAGGTGAAGATGAAGGATTCTTGTATTATCTTTTACCTCATCAGGTACAGGATTTTGAGAGCCAGAAGCTTCTTTGTAGAAAAACTGAATGAGGTTTTGAGGTTGTTGATTGAATGGAAGAGGAGGGAGGATAACCTCACAGATATTGCTCAATGTTTCAATATCTTATACAGGAAACCAATGACTGTATTTGGATTCTCTATTTCCACCTTTTAGTAACGAATGACACTCTCTACTTATGGATCTTTTAAATGTACATCAGAAATTACATAATGAATTACATAATGTCATATGACATTCTATCATTTGTCAGTTTAAAACACAGTCAATTTCTTCATCCAATCTTTTTTATCCACATCATATTATGTAATCTCTTATATACAATTTTGATGTACAAATAGCAAAATCTCTCTGTCCATTCTCTCTCTAGTTTGAATATGGCATAAAATAGTAAGGTCAATTCTCTAAATGGTCACTGAATTTGCCAAAGGTTCCCCCGGGATCATTGAACTTCAAAATTTCCCTAGGTGATCACTGAACTTTGCAAATCACGGACCCCATCCATACTGACTTAACGTCGTTGCAAAATCAAACGATTTTGGTAACGTGTCAAACGGAGCAAGTGACTTGGCACGTTTGTATATAATTTGTTGGCCAAGTAAGCAAATTGCTAATGAGGTGTACAACTTCTAAAAAATTGAGTGACTGCCTAGGGACCTTTGACAAAGTTCAGTGACCCCGTGGGAACCTTTGACAAAGTTCAATGACTCCGCGAGAAACTTTGGAAAAGTTCGATGATTATTTGGAAAAATTGTATGTTTTAAGAGATTAATCCATTTCTAAAATCGATGCAACTATTCAAATGGACATGATTCAATGAGCATAAATATTAGGACACGGACTACAAAAATTTAAGAAAAGAACCCTTAGGTAATAATTCAACACACATAAGGTACAAAAGGTAAGAAGCCAATTGAGTCATCAGTCTCCATAATATATAATCTTCAATTCGCCTCAGTAGGTCAAATTTTTTTTTTTTCTAAGTTAACCTGAAAGCATGATGGACAAATCTTTGAAATTCACATATCATTAATTAGAAACATTTAGATGCACAATCTCATAAAGTTCTCACTTACTCTCTCGAGCCAACATGCGGACCTTGTATCTATACTAATTTATGACTGCTCTATCTTTAGACAAAATAATTTAACCTGTTGAGTCAAATTGAAGATTATATATATCATGGAGAAGGGTGACTCAATTGGCTTCTAATCTTTTGTACCTTATGTGTGTG